GCTCGTTTACACTTTCGCTTCTGTGGTAATCGTGTTTTTTGCTGGGTGTTGTTTGTTGATTCAATCTAATCCTTTACTTGTGTTAAAGCCTCTGTGCCTATTCAAGTGAATCAAAATAATAAGCATAAATTTCGTGTAGTTTGATAAAAAGTAGAATAAAATCCAAAGTAATCAAAGTACTTTCATCACTTTCACCACTTTTCCTCAAACTTAATCATTCTTCAGTATGACATCAAAAAGGAACTTCTCCGATACCCAAAATTCCAGATGTAAGCTCAGAGCTGAGGAAAAAATGTTTAAATATGAAGCGGGTTGTACATGTAAACGTCCACAGTAAAATTCTAAAAAAACATTTGCTTAACAGCGGTCGCCGCTCGGCAGGCAATGGCAAACTTCCGAATGTATTTCTTACATGAAACACTTCTCATAAAATCCATTTTCCATTCAGAGGAGGCGTCGAATTATAGGTCACACATCACAAATTAGATAAGAAGCTTGGCCAAACACTTAGCAAAAGTGTAAGCGCCAAAATATTATTATTATTATTAATCTTAAAATACTTTTCGCTACTTCCGTTTAACAATTACCACTTTTTCAACAAATGGTGGTCCTCATGCCTCACTTTAATTCCATTCGTACATGAGGCAAATTGCAATACAGCTGCAGATGAAAACTCTTTAAATATTTTAGTTAGTTACTAATATTTTGAAATTGAATTACAATAATTTGAGGTATTTACAACCTAAGCTCACATAATTTCGGAAACTGATTAGCTACTAGCGTCTGTATTGTAATTAGGCTGTGGCTTTCTATTTTGCACAGCAGCGACCAGCTGTGTAATCTCTCAGCAGCAGGCGAAACCTCTAAGCAAGCGAATTGAATATGTGGTCAACCAAATTGAGTAGTTAAGCCCGCGGTTATGTGTGAAACACAGAATATGATGGCTCTCTCCACCATCGATTAGTAGTGAAATAGTTGCGATATATTAGCACACATACGAACATATGTATGTGCACTCGAATGTAGTTTGCATCAGGGATTGGCAAAGGGTGCTGTTTTTGTGACTTTAAGCCTACTCACGTTAAAAACGGAGGATGAACGAACACCACCGCAAAGCGTGCTGTCTTGCAAATACAGCCACCACAAGTGAACGATGCTTATAACAGCTCATACTGATATTAACTTCGGCAAATCTGTACTCCGAATGATCGTGCACGAAACCAGCAACCGCCGTATTTGGTCGACTGCCAAAAGCACGATACTGCTTTGGACGGTTGCCGAAAGCATGACAGCTTATGTGAAAGACTGGCGAAGGCAATATGCCGCAGTTAGCTAACTTGATTTGTTGCAGAAGTCAAACCGCCGCCTTTGGTTTGTTGCTAAAGGCGCGTTTGACGTGTTGCCGAAGTGATGATACTGTAGTTCAAAAACATTCAAAGACACATGCTTGTTTGAAATGAAGCATTGATATGTACATACATACATACTTACGTACGTATGCATATTCACAACTAGCCAGCAGTGAGCAATGCAGTTGAATGGTAGACGCGCTATAAATACATACATACATGCATACGAGACGATAAATTACCCTTTACCACATTCGTCGTCATTTCAGCAACAAGTCAGATGATTTTCAGCAACAAGTCAGATGATTTTCAGCAACAAGTCAAATGGCTTTCAGCAACAAGTCAGATGATTTTCAGCAACAAGTCAAACGACTTCTGCAACAAATGATGACTCTCATGTTTTCGGAGCCGTTCAACTGCCACGTTTGCTGGTTTCGTGCACGATCATTCAGAGTACAGATTTGCCGAAGTCAATATCAGTATGAGCAGTTATAAGCATCGTTCACTTGTGGTGGCTGTATTTGCAAGACAGCACGCAATGCGCTCGTGTGCAGTCATCCTCTAATTTCGTTCAGGTATCGATACTACTAAGCCAACGACGCTGCTCAGTCATACAAAGCAGCGGTATTGAATGAGTATGAACAGTTGACGATCAACCAATGCCAATCTCTGGTTTGCATATTTACATACGCGCATACTTTAGGTATGTACATTGAAAATATACATATGATAGCAATGAGTAATATTTTGTGTATGTGTGTGTGTGTTGTACGGGGAAAAGCGTAATATTTAAAGGCTTAACGTACCAAAGCCGGTCGTAGCTTTGTTATAATCGCGAGATTCTATTACACTAAATACTGCCAAATACCGGCTTAAACGCTGGCATACACACTTACGTACATAATTGTAATAGCCGGAAAACAATAAAGCGCAAACATGGATATATATGTAAATACATAAGTGGTCTATATTCAAGTATGTAGTTTCTGCGCTCCCCAAATGGTTATCGTACTACATACATAACTTTGATATTAAGCGAAACTGGCCAAACTGGGATAAGAAGATTACAATTCCAGTGTCAAAATTACTCAATGACACTGCCAAAGCCAACAATGGTAATGATAATGATTAGTAATTTCGTACTATCGGTTGCAAGATGATGACTGCGTTTGTGCCATATTCCGCTGCCATTGTCAAAATGTCACCTACAGCATATCTACTCGTGGCAACAGAGGCCGCTGACCACGAAGCAAATTCACTAAGCGACCTGATTTCTATTGTTGCTGACACTGCCTGCGGTCGGCCATTTTTGCTTTGCGATAGTAGTTACACTACCAGAATTTCTGCAATATAATGTTAATATTCATGTAAGTATGTACATCGTACAAGTAGGTATACTAGTGTAAAGAGGAAACTATGTCCTTCATGCCACAGTCCATTTCTGCCTTCCAATTCACTTGTAGTCATAACTCAAAATTAATTGGGTATTTAATCGGCAGACGATTTGGGGCGAGCACTTGGGGTCATACATGCCTACATACATAAATATGTATGTATATAACAGGTAAATACGTATGCATATGTATACTTATGTACGATGTACGCCCATTGACACTAAAAATGTACTCGTAGCTTTTCCACAATTGTTGACCGCAAATATAATGTGTGGTAATAGGAAATTACATCAACTGCGCACAACAGTGAGGGCTGAAAATTTTGTGGTAAAATTTCAGGAAATATCTTTCAGAAAAGATTAGTTCCAACATTGTTTTCCCGGTCATTTACCTAAGCACTGCAGAGCTGTTTTAGAAAAGATGCCCATTTTACAAGTGCTGTTTTCATTTCGTTGCTGGGTGAGCAAATCGGTCCACGTAAATATATGTAGCATTAAATTTAAATACAATTTGTGGAATCTACAAACTATTTCATTCGCTAGCACAGAACCGAAATTCGAGTATAATTAGTCTCTTTGTTAAAACCTAATATATCGGGAAATAATAGAGATAGCCTAATATATTTCTATGCTCATTCCTAAGAGAAATTTGGTTTTTACTGGACAGTTCTACCTCTTTTTGGCCTTTGATCGATAAATTTCGATATTTTTTATTGTAATCTACCTGTGCGAGGCGCCCATGTCCGCCTCTTAGGACACATTCAGTTCGGAGCCGCTCCTTGCTAGTTCGTCCGCTGCCTCGTTGCCGTAAACGTCCGTTAGGGTAAATTTGTATTGATCAGTTTTATAGACCAGCTCTCTCCTACAGTTATCCAATAATTGAAATCCAACCTAACTCAGAAGATAGTGCCGCTTGGCTATACGATAGGATGTTTACCTGCGTTATCATGACTCTTTGACGTAACCTACTGCCTCTTTAATTGCAAACGTTTCGACTTGGAAAGCGCTTCCATAGTCTACTAGGCGAAAGAATAACTTTAGATTATATTGCTCAATGAAAAGCCCTGCATCAGCTCCGCATTCCATCTTTGACCCATCCTTAAAAGCGGTTCCCCTGCTTCCTGTCACTACGGCTTGGAAATTTCGTGCGAGGTTTATGGTGAACCCAGGTCTTTGATGGGATATAGTCAGTGGGCAGCGCTTTAATTTCAGACTGTATTACGTCTAGGACGGTGCCGCGTCCGAACGGTCTTTCCTTCCAGAATCCCAGGGCACGCAGTCTGAAGACGTTGTTAGCATCCGAGTTTTCGATAAAGATATTTATGGGTAATAAGTCATGAAATATATTCAAAACGTCATCGGACAGGATCTCATCGTACCGCTAGCTTTTTAACTGCGTAATCCTTAGTAAGAGCTGGCCACCATACCAGCACTCTCTGTGTACATCCCGTGCACA